GCCCACTAGGTTGATGTGAGTCAGAATCAATTCAGTGGCAGGGGTTTGGCTTTGGTTTGGTTCATCTTTACTGGCACAGTCTCCCGAGGAGGAGGAGGAGGATGAGGAGGATGAGGAGGATGTTGTTAGGTGCTGTTGACCCTGCCCCAACCCATGTGGCCCCATGTAGAACAGAAGGGGACACTGCCTGGTCCTGTGCCATCCTCACAATGGTTCCTTTGCTTGAGCCCATTGTTGCAGCCACTGTGTCATCTGTCTCGTGGAGGCCTTCTCTTTGCCACTGCCCCTCCACCTTACCCAGGGACTGACCTCTCCTGACAACATGCCCAAAGTACATAGGCCAGGTCTTTCTATCCGGGACTCTACAGATCACTCTGGCTGTACTTCGTCCAAAACAGATTGGTTGGTGCTTACAGCAGTCCACTGTACTTTGAATATCCATCTCCAGCTCCACATTCCTAACACAGCCATTCGCCAGTCTTCCTTCTGAGCATGGCGAGGTGATCATCTCTTTTCGAAGAATCTAGACCACCCCTTCCCTGGGAGACAGACACCAGAAAAGTGGGTGAAGGGAGATGTCAGATAGTGTAAGACATGACAAAATAATAATTTATAAATTATTAAGGGTTCATGAGGGGGGACGGGGAGGGAGGGGAAAAATGATCTGACTGATACCAAGGGGTCAAGTAGAAAGAAAATGTTTTGAGAATGAAGATGGCAACAAATGTACAAATGTGCTTGGCCCAATGGATGGGTTGTGATAAGAGTTGTACGAGCCCCTAATGAAATGATTTTAAAAAAAGAATCTAGATTAAACCAGTTCCAAGGATTGGAGATTGCGGATGCCAAATGTCTGACTCCTCTGTGATACTAGTCAGTTCCATTTCCCCCACACCTCTGGAGTATATTCCCTGCACGCCTGGCTTCAGTGACACTGCAGCTCCCACAGAAACTCACCAATCTTAGGTGCACTGTCTCACCTGTGGTGGGTCCTCCTCAGCTCAGACTCTGCCGGTCGGGCAGGCAGGGGCAAGCCAGATGTGGAGTCTACCCAGGCTTGGTCAGGATACGGAGACCTGGCTTTCTAGGTGAGGTGATGAATGTGTGAGGTTGTGTGTTGGCACCATGATATAACCAAGGCAAATCACGTGGCTCTTTTCATGCCTGGTTCTAAGGTGGCATCTTAGAGATGGCATCAAAGTATCAAAGAGTGTGACCTGATTCTCACCCTCTGCTCAGAGTAGGTCTTAATCCCATCCTGTCCCTTAGTAGAAAATGCCCTCCAAACCTGAGCTGTCACCACAGGCGTAAAGCCCAGAATTATAATCTTGTCTGAGCAAGTGTGGCGAGAGGGGCCATATTAACTGACTGTAACTCGGACGGATAGGAACCACTGACTCTGCCAGAGAGGAGCCTCTTAGCCCCGAGCCGTGTTGTTGCCTTCCATACGTGTGCCCCCTCCACCCAGCTGTCCCGCTGGAGACCAGGCCCCACCCCTGGCGTCTGTGTGCACACGCACACAGTGCACCGCCTCTGCTCCTCGCGAGGCTTCGTCAGTCAAGTGGGAGTTGGTTTGAGTGTCCGCTCCTGTCGCTCTGCTCTGGCTGACTCACCTCTCTGGGCCCTTCCGGAATCTGCTTTTCACAACCCGAGTGATTTTGGAGACCTTGGGCTGACAAGACAGGGCTGCCCGGGGCTTTCTGGTTTGACTCGGATGAGACCCAAAGCCCGCATCCACCTGCGTCCCCCCACCCTACCCCCATCTGCCTCCTCCCCACCCACTCAGGCTGTGTCCTGTTTCATTAACATGCCACTCGGTTTGGTTTTTTTCTACGCACCCCAAGCCCTTCACCTGCAGCCTCTGTGGCTGCTGCAGCCACAGCCACCTCATTCCTGCCTCCCCACCTTCGACCCCACTGGAGCTGTCCCTTCTCCCTCTCCCTCTGGACCAGCAGCTCCCCACCCCGTCCTCTCAGGCACAGCCTCTCTGGGTCTGCACTGCATTGCTGTGAATTGGCCTGTTGGATTTGGGTTTCTTTCATCTTTCCTGGACCGTCCTGGGATCCCCGGCAGCGGTTGTGTCAGGTGTTTTCTGCTTGGCAAGTCGTTGGCACAGAGGATGCTCCGTGAATGAGTGAATTCCACGCCCATTTAGCGTGGACTGTTTGGCAGCCTCCTCCAGAGAGGACTCCAGTGCACGGCTCCGCGAGCAGCACCAGGGTGGAGTCTCTGGCTGTGGTCTCTTGGGGCCTGGTAGACAGGCTTCGTTCGCCCTGCTGTGTGCAGGGTTGTGTTCATTTTTTTTCACCGAGGGCTAAAGTGAGTCCTAGACAGATGTTTGGCCTGGCATACCTATCGCGGGGGCTTCTGGGGGCGTTTATGGTGCACTTTGGTCTGTAGATTGTGGCAGTCCTGAGAGTATAACTGGAATGTGTCCCTCATTGTATAGGGTTTCTTGTGCTTTACCTGAAACGGTGACCTTTTCACAGTGTCTGTGACAGTGGTTCTCAACCTTCCTAATGCTGCGACCCTTTCAAACAGTTCCTCATGTTGCGGTGACCCCATATGTGGGCGTATCTGTATGTGGGCAGACCCACCTGGAGTTGCATAGAGGAGCAACGTCTCGGTTCCTAAGACCATTGGAAATTTGGTCTTACTCGACCCCTGTGAAAGGGCTGTTAGACCCCCAAAGGGGTTGCAACCCCCAGATTGAGAACCGCTGGCTTATGAGAACAGCGGTCTATTCACTGTGCTTGAACTCATTCAGACCGTCCCCTTTAATTCTCACCAAACCTCTCTGACCTGGGATTGTTACGACTTCCATTTGGTGAGAAACGGAGGCACTTGGAGACTAAACAACGTGACCTGGTTGCTCAGCTCATGAAAGGCAGCAGCACAGGCTCTGAGCACTCCACTCACTGCCACCCAGTCAATTCCGACTCATCGTGACCCCATGGGACAGGTTCTAGAAGTGTGAGATCCCTGTGAGATTCCTGCACCCAGAGCTGCTGGCGGAGAATGAACGATGGCGTCATCTGTGTGCTTGGAGAAACAGGTTTCAATCATTAGGAGCCATAGTATTTTTGTGGCATCTAAAAGAGCAGCTTTCCTGTTCTAGCTAGCGTGTTAGTGGTTAGTGATTTGGGACAATAACGTTCACAGATCTTTGATTTCAAAGTCATCAGTAGTTGTTTAAGGTACACGGGGTCTTGTGAATGCAGCCTTTGTCGTATTGCACAACCCTGTCACTCTTCACGTCAGTTCCCACTCTCAGTGGCCTCGTGTACCGCAGAGGAAACAGTGCCCAGCCCTGCACCGCTCCCAGGACGTTACGTCTGAGCCATTGTTGCCGCCAAAGGGTCGCTCCTTCTCACAGAAGCTGCAGTCCTCGCTGCCCCTCTAGTTTCCCAAGCACGTCCTTTTCTAAGGTACAGGAGACAAGTCTTCACCCTTACAAGTCTTTGCCTCTGAGGAGCATCCTGGTAGATCTACTTTCATCCAAGGTCGATCTCTGTTTTTCTGGACGTCCACGATGCAGTCAATACTGTTGGCCAGCACCATCGTTCAAAGGCATTGATTCTGCAACCGTGAGACCCCTGCCACACAGTGTATGCTAGTCAGACGCTGGCAGCACTGTGTTTCGCGGCAGATGGTAGTATCACAGTCCCTGTACCTGCACTGGCTCCTGTGACTTCAGATGGAGGCTGTGACAGACACTGTTGCACCCTTTGAATGAGGAAACAGAATCAGTCTAAGTGGCAGACTCCACTGTTTGCATAAGAAAAGAGAATCAGTCTAACTGACTTGTTGACCGGCTTAACGGTGACCGTCCATCCTCCTCTTCCTGCCTCCATCCTGCTTACGAAGCTGTGGGTTTCTTAGCTGGGTACTTGTGTTTCGCCAAGTGCGGGGAGTTGGCATGTCTAAGAAACTGAAACCTTACAACGGTGCTCAAAGATCTGCCGAAGTTCTGAGTGGTTGGGAGTCCGCTCTGACGCATGGCAGCCTTGGGTGTGATTAAGTTGAAACCCGCAGCCCCTCCCCCCTTCCATCGTCATGATCTTGGGCTTGCTTGAGCCGTTGTTGCCGTCACTGTGACATCGGTCTCGTTGAGGGTTCCCCTCATGCCGCGCCCCTTTACTTTACCAACCACCATGTCTAGTGACCTATGCAGAATAAGCAAGGCCAAGTTTCCTGACCCTGACCCTGACCCCTTGGGGCGTTCTCAGTGTGCTCCCTCCAGGCCTGCGCTTGTTTGTTCATTTGGCCGCCCACAGTGGAGTCAGTATTGTGTGCCGGCACCACAGTTCAGAAGGTGTCCATTGTTCGCTCTGGCCGGCCTTTGTGCTGGTGGCTGCAGCACTTGCAAGCACATTGGGGAGGACAGGCGTCCTTGCATTGTGCTCCTGCCGCCATCTTGCTTCGTCCTGGTTGGCCCCAGGATTGAAGTCCTTCTGACAGTTGGGAGCTGTGTTCTGTCTGGCTTCTGACTCTCCCTCATCCTCAGAGAGGGGCCTTCCTGACTTTGTGCTTCTGTGGTTGTGTCCTTGGCAGTTTGTTACCCCTCACCTTACGCTTGCGTTTCCAGTCACGAGTGCTTGGTTAATATCAACAATGGCTGCTAGTCCCAGTCTTCTTGCACAAACACCTCTTACTCTACTCAAAAGCAGAATAAAAATGAGCAGGTTTGGTTTTCCGATGGGATTTCCCCACAGATGTAAAGGTGATGGCACAAAAGGGTGAGATTGTGTATATCAAAGGGGAGGGGCTTTGGGCAGAACTGAAGCAAGACTCCTTGTCTGGTAATAATTTAACAAACATTTATTGTGCTGTTCTGGGTGGACGTGAGAGGCTGTGTCTAGTAGATCAGGTCCCTGGGCTCAAGCTCACCTGACCATGTGCCATCCGCAGGTAAGTGCCTCACTGTGCAGTCAGTATGCATATTAATTGGTGGATTTGAAATACCGCACACTGAAGGTTACTGTTTTTTCCCCCTACAGAATATGACAGATACCTAGCATCTAGCAAAAGGATGGCAGCTGCTTACCTTGACCCAAACTTGAATCACACACCAAATTCCAGTGCTAAGACTCACCTGGGCCCTGGGATGGAGCGCTCCCCAGGGGCCATGGAGCGAGTGCTAAAGGTCTTTCATTATTTTGAAAGCAACAGTGAGCCAACCACGTGGGCCAGTATTATCAGACATGGAGATGCTACCGACGTCAGGGTAAGTACGTCCTCCAGGCCCCACCACATCCAGCTTGTACAACACTTCGTGGCATGTGCAGAAAATGACGCAGCCCTGGTTTTTATTTGGGAACTTTAAAATTTTTTATTTATTCGTTCAGTCATTATGTGGCTGAACAGAGTTTTAATTGTAAAGCTTCTTAGGGAAATAATAAATGAGTTATATTAGTCACACAATGCCATTGACAACACCCCCCCCCCCCCACCCCCCACCCCCCGGTTTTTTCTTCTTTTTCAACTCTGACCACTCAAAAACTCAACTGCCATCAAGCTGATTCCCTTTCTGAGTGGAGGAGCAGAAGGCCTTGCCTTTCTCTCGCAGAGCTGCAGGCTGGTCTAGACCTCGGTGCCCCAGGGCTCCTCTTGAGCAGCACCCTAAAGCTGTGATGTGAGAACATTCTTTGGGAACTATTTACATCCCTCAAAATTGGATGCTCCTCCAAGAGCACTGAACGTTGTGAGTACGAGGGAGCTTCAGGGGGCCTCACCAGGGTCGTAGAGGATGGCCCTGGAAAGAGAACGGCTTGGCCCAAGGCATTCTTGATGCACTGTGGGCATCCAGGATGAAGGCTTGGCTCTGGGGCGCAAGTGTCCCTGTGGGGCACTTGATTTCTGCGTGCCTTCTGTGTGGGCAGTAGGCACCGAGGCCTAGCTAGAGCAGCAAGGCACAGTGATTGCTTGGCTGGCGGGACAGAGCAGGCGTCCTCATGGTAGGTGTAGGGGCTAGGGCAGGGACTGGAAAGGTGTCCACTGGGGTGTGGAGGACAAGCTTGTGACGTAGACCCAGGGGGTGGAGCAACCCAGGCGAAGGTGCAGAACTGTCCTGAAAGTGGGGAGAAGATAGCGTGTGGTTTCCTCTGCCCATCGGACCAGATGTGGGTGGAGTGCCCGCCCAGTCCCTCCTCCAGTGGTGACTGTGAGAACCAGGGCGGGGTCTAGGCACAGACGAGGTCAACTGGGCCGTTCCCTTCCCTTTGCACAGTGCAGTCCATCAGCTGCTCTCCTTGCAAACTCTCCTGTCGCCACCCTTTTGGAGTCAAAGGGTTTGGTGAAGTTAGCTTTAAGGCTGAAATGCTACATTTGAACGATGCTACATAGCTGTATACTGGCTGATGTTTTCAAAATGATTAATCATTAGAGGGAGAATTACTGATTCAAGATGGAAATTAATCTCTGCACTTTCTCGTGAAGCTTGCTGGCTTTCTTTCAGCCTGTTCTGCCTGTATAGTTCTGCAGGTCAGGGGTCGGCCTGAGTTCAGTTCTTGGCGTGTGGCTGTCCAACTGCTGTCTCCACAGCAGGTTTGTGGCTAGCAGTGTACTGCCAGGTCAGCTCTTGGGGCAGTGGTCAGAACTGGGCACACACCGCCTTTCCAGGTGGGCCTGGAATGTAGACAGGACCACTGGGCAGGGAGTCCTCAGTGGGGGAGCCCCAGGTAGACTTTGCCATCGTGGTTTTCTGTTGTCAACTCCCCCCACAACCCACCCACCCCAAATTGGAGTCAGATTGGGCAGCGCTCTCACTCCTGCACCACAGGCCTCGCAGGTGGAAGCCAACACACAAAAAGTGTCTTCAAAACCCAGGTGTGAGCAGCTCGGGGCACGAATGTGGATGTGTCAAGACACCAGACACCCACGAGTGGAAGTAGATGGGCCGGCTGTTCCCCAAATGTCCCCAGAACATGTGAGTTTGTGATTCATATCGTGAGCAAGGGACTGGCCCCAGCGACCCTTAAGTGTGATCAGGAAGAGTCATGCATGCGATGGTCCCAAGAGATTCAGGCCGAGTTTGAGAGGAAGGAGAACATCGTGGGGTGCTGTCCCCCTAAGTTAACGAGACACCAAGAGCATCCCTCAGGGCAAAGGGCAGTGTGGGTGCCGTTGGGGGCCAGTGGGGAGCAAGCAGGCTGACCCTGGGGACCAGCCAAGGGCTCTCTGTTTACTTCCAGTCCTGTTCCTGCATTAGAAGTTCCAGCTGAAGGGAAACTCCTGAGTTTCCGCCATTGTTTTCGTCTCCCCGTCAGAGATCTCTGACCAAGGTGCACTGTTGTCAGAGCATCTGGAAGGAGGGGAGCAGGCAGTCTGAGGGTCTGGTGAGGTTAGGACAGGAGGGGTGTTAGATGGCAAGTAACCACCTTCCAGCAGATGGCACTGATCTCCATCCAAAGTCACTGAAAGTTAGACTCCGTCTCGGGCTGTTGCCATGCTTGCCCGATAGAGTAGCCACAGCCACAGGGGATTCTCGGGCACTGGAATGAATCGAATACAAAATACACCTGACACCAAAGACTCCCTGTGATGCCTCTTTAACGGTTTGTCTGCCTTCACATGTTGAAACAATCCTGTCTTTGGTCTATGAGGCTAAATAAAAGCAGTTTTTATGAGTAAGTTCACTTGCCCCTTTGCCACTGGAGAATGTGAAGTCCCCTGCGTGACTGGCGTGTGTTTCTGCATAAGGCTGTGCTCCTGGAAGAGACGGTGAGGCCTTTGTAGGGGACAGGAGCTCGTCTTCAGCGGGGAAAGATGGGCTCTCTAGGGTGTTTATATGTCCATGCTTGTAGCTGAGGTGTTTCATGGGTGGCCGTGGACGGGCATCTCGGGCTGGCATTGAGTCCAGCACCCCGTAAAGAGGGAAAGGGCAGGATCACAGCAGGAAACCAAGGGAACCTGGGCGTGAGCTCTTGAGGGGCCTGGCCTCAGTCACGGCATTGCTCCAGGGCCTGAGGCGTCACAGGTGTGAGCCAGAGGCACGCAGGGCCGAGGATGAACGAGCTGCTTGCGGTGGAGGGGCTGTGGAGTGAGACCATCACAGCTGCATTCCGTCTCCCCCGGCCTTCACCACTGTCACCCCAGGGTATGAGGAGACACATGTCCAGTGAAGAACATGGAGCCACGCAGAGGCTGGCCTGAACTCGAGGTGACAGAGTGTAAGGGTCTGGAGTTAGTGCCCAGGATACTGATTCTATCCCTCTGCCGGCACCAGCCCCTGGCGCCGGGCAGTCTGGGCCTCCCCAGCACTCTGAGATGACACCCTTAGAAGAAATGTGTGCTGGACAGCGCTTCAGAGTGACCCGGGTAGGAAACCCTAAAGGCCACCAGCCAAGTGCCCTTCGCAGGAGAAGGCCCCAGGCCCCAGACTGGGACCTGCACTGCTGAGTGCAGGAGGACAGAGCCAGAGGCCTTTGGCGGTCTCTGGCTACAGACCGTGGCACCATTTGCTGCTTAGATGGTCAGTGAGGAGAAGGTGGAATGAGAACATCTGAGAGAGGAGCCCCGGCAGTGAGGTGTCATTCTGAGGCAGGACTGTGGGTACCAAGTTCCGTGTCAGCCACAAAGTTGAATTTCACGGAGCTTTGGAACGTCCAGCATGTTCACCGCGGCATCCGCACCCATTGTTGTATCTGCCCCTCTCCGCCTCCCCATTTCAGGCTCCCAGCAAGGACACCCCAGGGAGGGCCTGTGCTCACGGCACGGCAGGGCTGCTGCGACGTTGCAGGCATGGCGAGGACACCGTGCCTGACATCACAGGGGTCTTTCGCCAGGACAAGTATATGATTTTGAAGTGTGACATATATGGAGATTTTAGAATCACCACGTGTTCTTTGGGTATAACAGGACTAGAATGCTGTGGGCCTTCCTGGCCAGTTTAAGGGAAATTCTATTTAATCCACTTCCCGTCAGTGGTGAGTGTGCTGCAGCCATGGCACGCTGGTACCGCGGCTCTCGGCTCAGCTGTGTGTGCCATTCACTGACTCGGAATAGTGGAATTCGGAGGTCATAGGACTTTCAGTGCGCCGCCATTTGGTAGGTGAGGTTGGACATTTTCATGTGTGGTTAGATGTTTGCGTGCTCTTTTCCTTTGGGCTTTGTATTAGCCTCACATGGTGGGTAAACATCCCCTCCCGAGCTGGGTGCCTGCCTGTACCCATCCTGCCAGGACAGCTCCACGGGCACACTCGGAGCAGTTCTCCTCTGCCCTGTGGAGTCACTGTGAGCCATGACCAGCTCGATGACAGCGGTTTCTCAGTTGTATCCAGAGTTGGAGATGGAATTTGAAAGGACATTGAAGAATGGACAGTCAGACCGAACAAAGATGGAAGCATTGCGCAAAGCCAGAGTTCAGCAAAAGGCTATCCGTGTGCGTTCATTCGTGGTGGGCAGTGAGTGTTTTACCCTCACTCAGCATGCACAGCTCACGAACTGGAAAGCTGTTCCACAAAGATCTTTCTGAGTCCTGGCTACTCTTCAGACAGTGTGGTCAGGTGACCTCCCCTGACAGACGCCGAGGTGTTGTGGAGCCTCCTCATGAGGTCCGGATATCTGCAGGGTGTGTCCCGTAAGCCCAGAGGGAGCAGTGACTAATGCTGGGGTCAGCAGAGAAGGTTGGCTCTGTCTGGGATAGGATGAGAAGGTGCCTGCACCCCCTCCCACAGTATATCTGGATGCTGAAGGGAAAAGCCGACACTGGGCAGATGGACAACGGAGCACGGGGTGGGTAGAGGTGATGTGGCTAAGCCCGGGCTCTGGCCAGAGCAGTGCTTGGCTCTCTGGGTTGAACTGGCCGAGCTGGGACTGGGAGACAAAGGCGCTTTTGTGGGACTGGAAAGAGGCGCCAGCTCCAGTCTGCTGCAGCTCAGGCGTTTGTGTCTTGGCAAGCAGCAGCCGCAGAAGTTGCCTTAGAAATGGGGAAGAGGTGCCCCATCTGGGCAAACCCAGCCCACCCCAGAGCCATGGTCTGAAGACAGACCACAGGCTGATTTCCAGCTCCCCTTAGCTGGGCACCTTGTGCGGGCACAACCTGCTTCACCCCTCACTGGCCGTGGCCCGAGTGTCAGGCCTGCGGCCATAAAGGCAGACCTTGGCCTGCCCGTCCGAGTCCCTCACTGTGCCCTGGGCTGCACACACCCTCCTGTCCTGAGAACTTCTCTTCCTCCCTGACGCTGCCAGTCTGCCTTTAGGTTCCTGCTTTCTCTGACCCCAGCTTGCTTCTCGCTCCTCTCCTCTCTGTTCGGTGAGCAACCTTGTATGGGATCCTGTCGGCTAGAGGGGTCTTCTATGATCCCTGGTCACTTGGTGTCCAAGAGGGCACAGGTGGGCACATGACAAGCCCTTGTCCTTGGTAGTGGACACCTTGGGCACCCTTTGTATACAGTGTAATTTTATTTGTATCTTCTCCCACCAAGGGCCTGGGAACACCCTATGTTGTGTTAAAGACAGCAGCGTGCTCAGCACAGAATCTCGGGCTGGTGCTGGGCCTGTCAGGTGCCACACATTGAAAGTGGCACAGTGCTTCCCACAATTGTTGGTTTGTAAATACCAGTGGTGATTTTCTTTAATGGGCATTTCTATTACTCACTGAAAGGTGGAAGAAATAGTTGTTGGTTGTGATTAGCACACTTGATGGAAGGGCAGCTGCTGGTTTCTATCCTGTTCACAAGTGAGTCTTCCTTGCGCTGCCCCTCCACCCCCGTCTCCCTCCAGGACATCTCTCTGAGTGACCTCTCACACCTTAGAGAGCACAGGCTGAACCAGTGTCAGCACTGGGCTCTTTCCCAAGCCCCAGGACAAAGCTTCCCGGCTCCAGGGAGCTGCCCTGGTGGCCTCATGCTGACATTGCCTGCCCGTCCTCTGAACCCAGGGGCACATGCGCAGGCAGCACCAGCGTGGGGCTGTTTTAGTTTGCTGCACAGGAAAGTTGTTCTGTTATAAACTAGAGAGAGCAGATAGTAAGGTGATAAGCTCCAAACGCAAATAGCTTACCATATGTCTTCAGTGTTATCAGAAACATGGCCTTGCTCATGTTCTTAAACACGATTGGTCCGTGTATCTTTGGGACCTGTCGGCTGTGGCAGTCTCCCCTGTAGCCATGGAAGAGTGTGTTCTTGTTTACTGGCAAAGCTGTCACCATGGAATTGGGGTCAGATTCTGACTGGCACAAGTAACGTTCTTTGCTGTTAACCTGATGTGTTTAGGGGGACCGATTGGGCAAACTCAATAACTGTAGCTGAACTAATCTGCGGTGGAGGCGGGAAGATAAGATTCAAGGAATTCCAAGCAACTTGGATGTGATTTAATTGTGAACCTTAACTGCTGTCACTTAGTGATGGTTGAGGACAATCTAGAGTGGCACTTTAATTGACCTAAATGTGGGTTTCTTTTTTTTTAGGATTTTATCCTTTTTTTAAAAAAATCATTTTATTGGGGGTTCATACAGCTCGTATCACAATACATACATATATACATTGTGTCAAGTGCAGTTGTACATTTGTTGCCATCATCATTTTGAAAACATTTTCTTTCTACTTGAGCCCTTGGTATCAGCTCCTCATTTTCCCCTCCCTTCATCCCTCACAAACTCTTGATAATTTATAAATTGTTATTATTTTTCCATGTCTTACACTGACCGGTGTCTCCCTTCACCCACTTTTCTGTTGTCCATCCCCCAGGGGTAGGATTTTATCTTTTTTTTTTTGAATATTTTTATTGACGTCTCATATCGCATCACAATCCATACATTCATCCGGTGTGTCAAGCACATTTGCACCTATGCTGCCATCATCATTTTCAAAGCATTCTCTTCCCACTTGAGCCCCTGATATCAGCTCCCCATTTCTTCCTCCTCCTTCCCCTGCCCTCCCTCCCTCCCTCCCTCACCCTTGCTAAGTTATAGATTATTATTATTTCCATAGTTTACGTCGTCCTCCGCTGTTCCTCACTCACTTTTCCGTTATTTGTCCCCCTGGGAGGGGGTTCTAGGGATCTTGTGATCTACCCCCCCCCCCCCAAATCCTCCTGGTATCTCTACTCTCCTTGTTGGCCCTGAGGGGTTTATCTCGCCTGGATTCCCTGTGTTGTGGGCTCTTATTAAATGTTGTTTTTATGTGAATACAGTGGAGAGTTCTAGCAGAAAATAAAATACATACTTCTTATAAAAAACATGGTTGACTTTTTGTTTTTAATGATACTAAGGTTGCAGCCTGGCCTCAAGCAATGACCTCAGTGGTTCAGAAAGTATAACCCCATCTGGGCCCCGTCCTCAGAAAGTAACTGGATACTCTTGGGCTTGGACACGTCTTGGGAGCCTGACACAGGTGGAGTTGGCAAACCTGGACGTGTGGGCTTACGTACCTTGTCAATAAAGAAAAGGGGGACCATCTTCCTGGTGTTTAACCAAGTGTTCTGTGTTCCTCAAAAGACTATTTGAGAAGATGTGTTGTGATGAAATTGCAGTCCTTGCTGTCACCGGAGACCTTGGAACCAAGGTCTCTGCTGCTCAGCTGCCCCTGGCCAGGGCTTTCCGGCTTCTCACTGTCACCGGTCGGGGTGTGTTCCAGGGCATCATCCAGAAGATCGTGGACAGCCACAAAGTCAAGCACGTGGCCTGCTACGGGTTCCGCCTCAGCCATCTGCAGTCGGAGGAGGTGCACTGGCTCCACCTGGACATGGGGGTCTCCAACGTGAGGGAGAAGTACGAGCTCGCACACCCCCCAGAGGAGTGGAAGTAAGCCTACAACCCTGCCGGGGTGGGACAGACCTGGGGTTTGTGTGTAGTGCAGGTCACAGACCCATGCACACAGGTTTTGTTGTATGTGGGCTTCGTGTACCTACTACCCAGCGAGGATTAACCAGTGGGCTTTCCTGGGCTCTGGGTGGTCCCTCTGTGGGCATTGTGCTCTGGGGCTTGCTTCCTGTGAGCTGTCCAGTTTTTCCCTGTAGCTGGTCTCCTGCCTCTGTCCGTGTCACTGTTTCAAGCTCTGCTCCCAGGAGAATAACAGCCTCCTCCTTTCTCTGTCTGGTCTCTTACTAGCCTTCTTCACAGCCAGACTTGAGGCTGTGCCAGAGGGAGGGGGAGCGGGAGCGGGATGCAACAACCCCCCCGGCCCCGCGATGGCCTGGCTAGAGGGGTCTGCAGCTTGCTGCTTTGTGCACAGTACTCTAGACCTGGGCCTGAAGAGGTTGTGGGCTCAGTGCTCACTTAGAACATTAGCATGAGGGCCAGACCCCTCAGGACTCCTAGACTGATGGACACGGAGCTGAAATTACCTGAGGGAGTGCAGAAGATTCCTGTGCTTGGTCTTTCCCTTAGTGCACTGCATTCACTGCTACATAAACCGAAATACTGATCGGAAATAGTGCAAGTACCACAATCACTGTGAGAAAACAGGCACGAACTTACACAGTTAGGCTTCCTCTGCAAGCCCCCTCACTTGTACAGATGTAACGACACACCAAAGAAGCCATTCAGACTTGGTGAACTTCCAGTCCAAGGCTCTACATTCACCTGGGTAGACACTTGAAAAGGAAAACAGGTTTAACATGTAATTAAATCTTGAGTTGAAATCTTGTCCTAGTTGCAGATGTTAACGAAGGCATGCAATTTCATTTTTAAATTGAAAAGTGAGCCACATACTGGACTGGAGCTGATGAAGTGCTCTCTGGAGGTTATCGTTGGGCTGGAGAAGATCGAGCCTGCTATTCGTTTACAAAGTACATGCCTTCAGACCGTTTGAGGATATGCCCAGTGTTCGTTAAGAATGCTTGAGTTTTTATTGAATACAAATCAACTTCTGTAGGTATGTCATAGCTAACTTGGACCATAAGAATTTTAAATATATTGCGTTATTACGTGCACCGTAAGTGTTTTGAATCTAGCTCTTGAGTTCAAGTTTGGTTTGCTCTTCTGAGCCAGTTTGCCTCACCTTCTGGAAGTCAAGTTGCGGGAAAAGGACTCGCCCTTTCCGGGGTCCCTGTTTCGTGGAAGAACAGTAACAGGACTTCACCGACGTGAAGTTGAAGTCAGAGCATTTGTGAGACGAGTTTGATCTCAGTCATCCTGGCTTCACAGCACAGGTTTTGAAATCAGCGTGCGTCCGTCCGTCCATCTGTGGGAAGGAGGCTGTCATAGGAAGAGACTGTAGCTAGGTCCTAAGGCGCAGGGTGGGTTGCCGGGGATCCTAGGTCCCGATGGGTGGGAGGGTGTGCACGGTCCCTTCAGCAGGCTGAGGCGCACGATTTGAGCATGTTTCAAAGGAGGGGATGGAAGAGCCAGAAAGGAACCAAGCAGACCTGAAAACCAGGTGGAAGTTTTAGCACTCACTGGATACCTGGGGTGGGGGGTGGGCAGTGAAAATGTAGTAAACAGTGGATGTGGGACATTGCACAGAGCAGAATATGAAAGCCAGTTGTGTAACAAGAAGACTGAGAATGTCTAACCCATTTCTGATAGAAACTGTAGCACTAATGGCTCAGAATGTTCTGGAATCAGTGGATGTCGTGAGTCCTCAAATGTAGCATTAACTTCAGATCAGTGATGAACCCGTAGAGAACCGTCAGCGTCATGAACTGAAGACTCAGCTAACGGCTTCATCACAGCCATGCAGGCCGCCCCCACCCCTCCCACCCCCGCCCTGCCCGGACACTCCGGTTCTACTTTCTCAACCTCAAACTCAGACCCAGACGCTAATTTTAGTACAACTGTTTCCACGTCACTATTTTTAGAGATCAGACCTGGATTTTGAGCTTTCTGAAGTAGAACTAGAGTATTGTGGTGGGGAGGGAGGAGCCAGGTGGCCTTGCACTGAAGCTAAAGCCCTGTCAGCCAGTCTGCGTGCAGACCAAACATTTAGGTGCTGCTACACCACCAGGAAGGGTCCCTGGTGTGGGTAGTGGTTATGCGTTGGGCTGCTAACCACAAGGCCAGCAGTTTGAAACCACCAGCCACTCTGAGGGAGAAAGATGGGGCTTTCCACTCCCTTAAAGAGTTACGGTCTTGGCAACCCCCCAACTCTCAGGGCCAGTTGTACTCTGTCCTGTAGAGTCTGATGGAGCAGTGAGTTTGGTTGGTTTAAACCATTAGGAAGGGGAACTGTGCATGCACAAAGAGGTGGTAGGTGGGAAGGGGGACGGGGGATGGGGTGGGGAGAAGGATCCCATAGACACCTTTCAAGCTTAACTATTAGGTAGGCGTTAGGCCTCTGGGGTGAACATTAAAGACCAGGAAAGGATTCACTCATGGGAACCATCAGAGATCAGAAGCACAGCTTGCCCACCCAGGGAGATAATTCAGTGGTGGGAGCCGGGGTGGGCTGGAGAGAAACAGAAACACAGGAGGGGGTGGGCAGAGCCCTGTTAGGCTGTGGGGGCTGCAATTCGCATCATGAAACAGAATGCGTGTGAATATTGAATGGAACACGGACTTTCTCTCTGCAAACTTCACCTGAAGAGACAGGAAACGAAGCCTGGTAAACTGCAAGGGAAAATACGGTGTGGGAATCAGCACAACTGTATTGAGGGTTCCAGAGTGGCCGAGAGCTGCCCTGCCTCTTTCCATTTCCCACAGACTTTCTGAAGCTCCTTCATACTGCCACTGAGTGTGAGAGGGCCAACTGCCAGTGGAAGGGCAGAGCTCAGAACTCACCTGTCTGCTCTCTGCAAGAGATGTCCAAAACATGGATTCTCGGACTCTTCTTCGACATAGCATGTAATTTACCTTAAGATGTAGTGTACATATTCTTGCACGTGTGTAGATATCGCAGAAATTGCTCTGTGTGTGTGTTTCATAAAACCATACCTAACTGTTTACGCTGTAAAGTCTAAAGGTCTTTCGATTCCATTCTGTTTTGCCCTACTTCATTAGAATAAAGAATAATTTCACAGCCCCCCAATGAGTTGTGGCTTCAAGTTTGATAAACTCTCAGCTGAAGCATAAGGACAGGTAGGGAGGAAGACAATGGATGGTGGGGTGGGGGTTGTGTTGCCATATGAACAGCCCGGGGAGGAGGTTGTACGGCCGAACGTTACTGGGCACGTAGAGGACTGGTATGCAGTAATAAAAGGTTCACTAGGATTGAAAAAGTACAGAAATAGATGTTGTATTAGTCTGGGTACTTTGGAGAAACAAATCCACAGCAACTCATGTATAAGAGAGTTTTATGTAAAGAAAATGTGCATCACGAA